CAAAATTTCTTCTAACGGTGTTAATTTTGTCCAATTATAGAAAGTTACATAGATTAGATCATTTAGATATATATGAAAATCCTTGATTGAGTTATATATAAAAATCGTTTATTAAATATTATGATAATTAATTGAAGTTTTATATAGAAATTATACATTCTGATAGTTATATATGGTGATTTGATGTACGAATGAATCATTAGTCTATTAAGTCAAAATCAGATCACAAAATTTCTTTAACAATTCAAAATTTCATTAACATTAGTGTTACTATAGTGACACTAATTTTATTATAGTGACACGAATGTGATTGTTTTTCTTAAAATATTTAATACCTATAATGAAGAATTTTACCATTTCAAATAGTAACACAAACTCAACATCAATTTCAATTTTACTCTTCAAATTTACTGTAGCATCTATTGACAAAGTTACAGTTGATTCTTTGCATTAAAAATATCTTCACAACATTGAGATTCAGAAAAGAGTTAAGGTATGTGATTTTACCTAAAAGTTGATATTCATTGTAAAGTTTTAAAAAACTAATACATAATATATAGTTTAAACTGTCCTTTTTTTTTTTTTTGCATTCCTAATTTAAAAATTGAGATTAATTGTTACTAAATTGAGTATTTTAAGAAAAACAATATCATTCGTGTCACTATAATAACATTTGTGTCACTATAGTAAAATTAGTGTCACTATAGTAACATTAATATTAAGAAATTTTTGAATTGTTAAGGAAATTTTGTGCTCTGATTTTGACTTAATAGACCAACAATTTATTCATACATTAAGCTTCCATATATAACTATCAGAATATATAACTTCCATGTAAAACTTCTATTAATTATCATATTATTTAATAAAGGGTTTCCATACATAACTCAATCAAGGGTTTCTATATATAACTCAATAATCTAATCTATGTGAAGGAGACGGTAAATCAGACGTCGGTTATTATTTTTCCTAAGAGTAGGGGTACAATAATAAAATTGACAAAAAGTAGACTTAAAACCAAATAAGTTTCCGTAGTAGACTTATCTCCAACTAAGTCTATATAAGGGGATTGACCTCCAAATTTTCCAAAATTTAAATCCATGTCTAAACAAACTATATCAACTTAAATAGATTGGGCCTATTAATCCAGCTGTAAAATTAAAAGACCCTAAAATTTATTTTTTTAAATAAAGAAAAAAAAACTAAATGTAAAACTAAAGCTATTAAAAAATCTAATTTTAATCCTAGAAAAAGTCAAGTTTAAACTTACCATTTTTTCAATCATTCTTTCTCTCTCTCTTACTATTAAGTTCAAATATGATAACAAAAAATTGAATATAAAAACTTAATTAATATTTTTGTATTTAAAAAAATTAAAAATTAAATTTATTATTAATATTATAAATAAAAATTCTTTATTTATTATTTCTGCTTTAAACCCCAAAATGTCTCGGCCCACCCCCTGGTCTTACATTCGAAACTGCCGCTCTGTAAATCCAGATTTATATTCCCGTAGATTTATTAAATTTCATGAAGGTTGGTAGTTCTGACCAGTCTTATATTGATGCTTCCTTTCAATCCATGGGATTGAACATTGGATTGGTCATTTCCAAGTCATTAATGGGAAACCATTCATGTGATGGACATACTAGTCAAGGGCGGAGCCAGAGTCTATTTCCAGTCAAGGGCGGCCCAATCAAAATCGGGGCCTTATGCGAAAACTGTAAACTGGCCTATTGAGATTTATTGTAATACTATAAATAATATTATATGTTCTGTCACACCCTAGTCCGAGAGATTTATTTGGTATGTCAAAGATGAAAGTATAACTCGACACGTAGTAATACATGCGCTTGTAATATAAGGAATCATTAAAACTAATAATATCAACCAATAATTTCATGAGCTATGTACAAAAATGTGAAAAAATGCCAGAAATTTGCTGCAGTTTTAAGGCTCCCAACAAAGAGACTTATACCAATCGTGAGCCTATGGTCATTTGCTCAATGGAGAAAGATACTATGGGACCACTTATAATTGTGAAGAGCCAGAACAAGTTTGCAGTGGTCGTAGTTGATTATTTCACCAAGTGAGTGGAAGCTGAGCCACTAGCAACAATAACAGAGCAAAAGATCCAGAATTTGGTGTGGAAGTCAATTGTTTACAAGTTCGGCATGCCAACTATCATAATAAGTGATAACGGCAAGCAATTCGATAATGACAAGTTTAGGGAGTTCAACTCTGAGCTCGGGATTCGCAATCATTACTCCTCCCCTAGTAATCCACAAGAAAATGCGTAGGTGGAGGTAACTAATCAAACTTTACTACAAAAATATAAAGACTGGATTATAACAATCTAAGAGTCTCTAGGTGGAGCAGCTCCCAAATATCCTATGGGCATATAGGACCATAGTAAAGGTACCAACGGGAAAAACACCGTTCTCTTTAACCTTTAGAATGGAAGCACTTATCCTAGCGGAGATAGGAATGTCAACCCATCAAATTAAGGAGTTAGATCTCAACATGAATAATCAACTGCTCGCAAATAGTCAATTGGCCCGAGGAATGGCACACTCGAATCATGTGTAAGCCCTAATCATCTACAATCTGGTAATTTGTCATTAAGTTGGTGGAAAGACCCTCAATTGTATGAACCAATCTCAAACAATCTTAATCTTTTTATGTGGGATTCAAGCTCTATTCACAAGAAAATTTTGCAAAAAATTAAGATTGAAAATTCATAGCTATTTGGTATTCTGTGATAGCGATTGTAGTTTTTTAACTTGAGACAATATACTAATTCGAGATTTCTATCAAGAATTTTCATTGATTAGGAATTCTAATTACAATCTTTATATGATTCAACAAATGCAACACTACCCCATGAATCAACATCATATTTGCTCGGGACAAATGAAGATGTCTTCCCGTCAAACCATCCAAGTAGAACTTCTAGGGATTGAAAGATTAAATTTTTCCTCGAGTGTGTTAAGAGGAAAATTCATGTGACACTTGACAGGATCTAACAAATTAAATGAAAGTAAATAAGTAGAGACCACGGGAAGCAGTTTTATTATATGAATTGAGAAATTCGGTTCAAACTCTATGATATTAATAAGGGTGAATAATATTTCGCACCTAGAAAGATTATATTACTCAATTTATATCCTTTAGGATAAACATTCTTATATTACAACCTTAACTTCATCAAAAGATATCAATATGATCCAAAATCTAACTTCCATTGCCTTTTCCATATCATCCCACAGCATGCGCCATGCACATGATTTTAGCAGGGGTACAACAATCAAATGCACCTCATACCCTCTCACGGTGGAGCTACCATGGTTCGTCTATGGCGATGCTTGTATGTGTTGTGTGTTCCTTCCTTTTCCCTTTTGTTTATTGGGTAAGACTTGGTACCAAACGAAACATCAAAGTTTCCCATTTGTTTGAGTCAAGGCACGAAAAATAAGGAAAAGTTACGAAAATAAGTCTGAAGCGACCCTAAACTATTGAAATTGATACTAAAAAGTATTAATTATAAATTATACTCCAAAAGATCTTTTAAATCTCAATTCGTATTCTTAAAGATTTGCACCCTCAAATATATAAATTTGTATTAATGCGCACCTAAAGCTAACAGACATTAGTTTGTGGTCTAAAACTAATTAGATAAATTACACCTATACCCCTTCAACTTTGTCACTTAATTATTTGAACCCCTCACATTTAGAATATAACTCCTACACCTTCTGACGTTTGTGCACATATAATACATAACCCCTTATTGTTGATATCTATTAATATAACCGCTAAAAAAAATTATTTTATCCTAATAAAAAATTATAATTTTCATATTACTCTTTATTTTGTAGGTCCGTTAGACTTTAAAGTTTAAAATCAAGCTTATCATTTAAATGCCTACTATAGTGCAGGTATTTATATAATGTTTTTTATATCCAATGCAATACATCACTTGAACAAAATTATTTGGATGCCTAATTTGAAGAACATTTTTAGTCATATGAGAATTTTCAGTAGATGTAGGTATAATATTTCAAATGTGAGGAGTCTATGTGATTAAGTGACAAGTATGAGAGGATTTAGGTGTAATTTATCTATTTAGTTTCAGACGAGAAACTGACCACTAACCTTCAAGTGCGCATTAATATAAATTTATATTTTTAAGAGTAGAAATTGAGATTTTTGATCTGAGAGTATAAATTAAAATTCAAACAATCTTTCGGAGTGCAATTTGCTATTAACCCTACTTAAAATACCCCCGATCTATCCCAATTCCCAAATAATTCATTGACTATAACTATATACCAAATATCTACTAATGTAGAAGGAATTATCAGGCTTGCCCAGTTATGATAGGTCACTGTGATAGACTAGAAAGTAACCAATCTTTCTTATCAAGTAGCGACAACAACAAAACAAATGAACTGAGGGAGAAAATTATCTCTGTTTTTTGTTTTTTAACAATTACTTGTCATTTCTAGAGCATAACACAACCAATTAAATAAAATACTCTAACATATAAAAATGCTAGGATGCTGCTCAGCCTTCCGAATAACTTGATCATGATGATGTATGTGAGTAATGACATGAGAAGCTCGTTCGCCCCACGATTCCAAAAGATGATTCAGAATTAGGTCACAACATTAATGGGGAAACTCAAAAGAGAATTTCTGCCATTATGACTAATTAAGCAGATCTCTTTCATTCTGACCCGTGCAGAGAGAGCTTTTTCATTTCAAAAAAATATTATTGACTTATTTGAAAGCGTTAAACAGATTGATTGCATATGGCCAATTTTTTCACCAGCAATAACTTGGATTCTAGGCTGAAGCTTCAAATTTCAAGTTGATTGGCTTGAAAGAGTCGAAATACATTTTCTTGGGAGCTTTGAACCCTTGGCACATCCTCTCAATTGCCGAGAAATGCAATGCCATAGCACAACTAAATCAATCCTTCTACGACAGCTTCAACAGAATACTTTTGTTTCTAAGATGGAATTTCAATTTTCATTTTGGATAAAACTTATCTGGCGTTCCTGTCATCTTTATACAAATTGTCAGTTCGGTTAGAAGTGTTTTGAATGCAAGATGGTAACAGCTTTTCATGTAGTTCAGACTATGCATGGTTGACACTCGTTAAAATAAGCTCAGAGCGCCAAGACATTACATTTACCACAAGAATAGGACAACCCAAATCATGCTACAAAGGTTATTTGCTTCCACATTCCACGCCTAAAAAATCCCAAACGGAGGTCTTTTCTGAGACCTTACTAAGCAGTATCTCCAGCTCACCTGCTCGTAGTTTTTTTTGAAGCTCAAATCCAAAACGGGGTGATATTTGCTGATGGGCACAAGGAAATACGAAAGGAAACAGTAAATTCCTTGAAAATTCAGTTGAAATATGTGTTAACGTATTCTTGAGAAAATTTAATTACCTTTGTGAGCCACAATATGTAAATGGCGGAATACGTTGCCTGCGCTTGATAATCCTCAAAGTCATCATCAACAATAGTTGTGCAGGAGCGGAAGAGTTGTAATTCATTATTCATAAACATATCAAAGTTGCAATGTCTGCCAATTTTGTGATCAATATGGCAGGACACATCGCCGGTACTGGTTCTTGCAAAATGATTTATCCAACATATGGAGAGGAAGCGGCGATGAAGCCACAAAGCCTGCCAAGTATTCCAATCCAATCAATTTTATCACAATCCAATCAATCTACATAACAAATAGAGGAGCAAGCACACAAGGAGGGATGACATTACAATTAATCTACACTATGAGCAGAGGAGGGAACATCCAACCAGGAGTATAAGAGAGACCCAAATCGACAGCAAAATAGAGCACCTTGACAGGAGGAAAAATAGAACAATCATTATCAGAGCCAATGAATGATCAACTGATCTCCTATTTGAGAAAGTCTGTGGTGACCAACTAAATTAGGCCTTGTTTGTTCTCTGCTGATGACCGTCAGATACTACATAAATTAGTTAGGTGAACATCTTTAATGAACGTTGATGAGCAACGAGGTGCCTTTCCCAGTGAAGCCTTCAGGCATCTTATGTTTTGTTGTGCAAATGAAAATATGGACAATAAGTAAATCATGAGTCAGATGAGGACCGCAATATTGTGGATCCAGTTTTGACATGCTCTGAGTCCATAGGACTTGACAATTATAGAATTCCATAGCCACTATATAAAGCCTATATCAGGTAATCAGCAAAAACAAGTATGGTGAGATTAGTTGGAAGGTCTTGCATGAATGTCTGCATAGATTGTCGTCCTCCGCACCCAAATCAAACATGCACCCAAGCACAAACGTGCAGAAAAACATCCAAACACACAACAAAAAAGCATAATACAAGCATTGCTTCCTTTTCCTCTGAAGAGCGAGTGAGAAATCAGAAGCCTATTATGGTCCTTTGGCCAATGGAGGCCAGCTCTCTACATGTTTTATGCCCCAAATCATGGAGCCAGGTCCGCAACCGTAGAGGACGTCTACGGTTCTTCGACGGAGAAGCAAAAGCATTATGAAGGTTCTAAACCATTTCGAGATTTGTCATACAAATTCAAAACCACAATGTCCCCGATTTCACCAAATCCTCGAAAATTAAAAAAGCTAAAGCCAATCACTTACCTCTCTTCCTATATAGCGTTTTATTAGCATCTCATTCCAATTGAGCTCTTCCTGTCACACCCACATTGTGAAAAAAGTGAGACAACAAGCTTTAAGCTTTTATAGAAGCATAGAGAGACAGAAACCAAAACCCCAAAGGCCATGCAATTAACCAATAATTTGTGTTGTCTTGGGGCATGTTAGGATGCTCTGGAGAAGAGCAACACTAATTTTATGACAATGCGTTTGAAAATATACGCAACTACATAAAATTTTTAGCATTTAATGTGAGTTAACTATTGGCAAGCTATAATGAACACAAAGTCCATTCTTGCATATTCATCCTTTAAACAACAGAATCAGCACCCATTCTAATCATGTACCATTACCTATGAGTTGTGCAAGCCTGTTTGACGTTAATATGACAATCAAGCTAAGGGGTCACATGCATAACTGTAAAATCCCAAAGTTCGATTACTTGCTGTTAAAGAAAAATAAAAAATAAAACGACAAAATCAGCACCGGGGAAAACACAATATCCTGACAAGCCACAATGTATACGACCATTCAGCAGGGCTTAAAAGAATCATATGTCAATATTTTTGTCCCCGGCAACATAACAAAAATCTCAGTTATTTTAGTACATTGAAGGATGTGGGTGGCATTATGACTAGTGTGTCAATTAGGAAGAGTTTTACAATGTTCATTTAGTCAAGCAACATTCTTTTTAAGGAGAAGGAGAAGGCCTTTCTAACCAAGAAGGGCTTGGGCCTACGAACAAAAAAAAACCCCAGGGGGGTTAATATTGACAAAAAAGTAAAATTCAAGGATTAAAGTGCAATTAACGATAAACATCAGAGACTACTAGCGCAATTTACCCTTCTACATAATAAAAGCTGAAAATTCAATTCATACCACATCAAAACAGGTGCTTAAAGATCATCAAAATAAAGACAACCAGTTATGGTTACAATTTGCTGTTAGGATTATAATTTGTGATAACCTAGACCGTGGGTCGATTTCAAAATTTGAGTTACAATTTGGGATAAAGAATTTGGACAATCTACATCAATATTACTTGGGTCGTGGGTCGATTTGGGTTGTGGTATGGGTACGCAATACAATACTTTCTTCTCATATGCGATACGATACGATAGGAGTAGACTTAGTGGGTACAATTTTTTTTGTCGTGGTTCATTTTGTAACTTTCTATAAAATAATCCATTGGAGACACATAGTTAACTAATATTTATTTTATATTTCTGATAAAAGCTCCAAAAGGAATCATAATTCAAGATAATATATTTGTAAGTGGCTACAAATAACAAAAAACAAACAGTCAGACATTTGTATTATGAAAAAAATTCAAATCGCATCAAATCAAAATACAAGTTTAAAGCACTCTAAAATAAATGAATAACAAGTTAGGCTTACGATTTGGGATTGGGGACATGATGGGGGATTACTCAAATCCATTTGCAGTTCGAGTTATAATTCAAATCGACAATTTGAGTAATCTAGATAACGAACCCACCTAATTTCGGATCATGCAACCTCAGTTTGTGGGATGCTAGGGGTACTACGATCTCGGCATCTATGATATGGATCGCAAACCCACCCTAACTGGGTTTGTGCGGCCCGGGTTCATGGGCCACATGAGATATTTACGATCCTAGTATCTATGTTGCTGACTCGAATTCACTTGCACTCAAAAAATGGTTGAATAATGACTTCTTCAACCACAATTACTTTACAAGTGACAATAACGGTTATTTTACTTCAGAAGGGCATTTTGAATTTGAAAACACACCCACCAACCCACATGCACCACAGCATAAAGCATGAAGCAGACATGCTTGCTCAAAATAACAAACTACTTGTCTATAATCTCAAAATTACAAAAAAGAATGTGAAACAAAAAAAAAAAAAAGCATACCTTCCACACTTCATAAAGTTCTGCACAGTAACTGAAGCATGCTATAGAATCCTGTCTATGACATGAATCCTCCAACATTCTGAGCATTAACCGCTGCCAATTAGTGAAAACAACAACTGTAAGATAAATGGTAGAGCAACATCATCAGAAAATCAAAGCCATTGTTTGCACATTTTCCTAACTATGGCGGGTCATGTTCGGGCAAATCAAGAATAGGTTAGATTGAGAGTGGAGAGTGCATATATCACATTATGCTTGTGAATATAATATCACTTCTATACCTTTTCTGGAGGGGGGGGGGGGATGTTAGATATTTTGGGTCTTTCCCTTTTCTTCTTATAAATTTTCTACCCAAATAAGTAGAGTACACAAATACAATATTACAAAGACGTATAAGCATTTACTGAGTATCATCATCAGTCAGGTTTGTTAGATCAAGGTCCACTTTTGCCTGATTGGTGGGGTCATGTGTGCCTTTTGTACTAAATGACAATTGACACAACCTACTATTGAATATCCAAACCAAAGGAAAATGGAGAGTGGTTGAAGGGGAAAAAGAGGAACATAATAACTGACCGGTGACTGTACATGAACTCCATAATACTGAGGATTTTTAATGGTGAAAGATATACCACTACAGAGACAAAAAAAAATGATTGTGAACAATTATTACAGCCTTGGGTATTGCATGATATTAGAGCATCTCCAATAGGCTCTTTATTGACACTCAATTCTCTATTTTAGACAATCAACTACTAAAATTTCATCTACTATTTATTTAGCCTCTATAAAATAAAGAGTCCAATTTGGCTCTCTACATTTGGAGAGTCAAACAGACTCTCTACTCTATTTTTTTGGAACATAAAAAGGGTATATTTGTCATTTTATCTAAGACAATCAAGATAAAATATATATCAACACTAAAAACGAGGAAAGTCAAATTTATTTTTAAAAAGGACAAAGCATAAAATAATAAATTGATAAGAATAAAGAGTCCTACCGAAGTGGTATACAAAATTTTACTATCTATTTAACTTTTTGTCAAAGATGCTCTTTATTTTAAAAGAGATGCTCTCTATTTTAGAGAACACTATTGGAGATGCTCTTACATCATAATTCCAAATACTCCGTTGACCGGGGGCCGGGGGCGTACAAAATGGGTTAAATCATATCGACCAGATATTGACACAGATTACATGAAAATGGTGCAATGGCAGGATTATGACCACAACTGCATCTTGCCATTAAAACCCTAAAATTCCTAAGGAGATCCCAAAATGAGACTTTTTTGGCACATACATCTATAAACCAGGAATCTAAACCAGCATAGAGTCGTATACATATCCATATACTCTGAGAACAATATCCTTAACTAATTTGTGATTTTGTTCATTTGCATCAGTGTAGGAGAAGAAAAGTGGGAACTCACTGTACGGTAGTGAAAACAAGAGTTATCGGCAACATGTAATCCAGCCCAATCTTGAGATTTTTTGAACTCATGCAGTACCTGAATGCATGCAATTAGATCCATTTAGCACAAAAAAGCCACATAAAGCAACTCAAAAACTATCATTTCAATACAAGAGAGCAACCAACAAATGCACCTAGGCACATACACACACATGACATGAACAAAGACAATAGCAAACAGCATAACCAAAATCAAAACTGGCAAACAGACTAAAAAGGAAACAAGTTTACAACAGAAAGAAACGGAATACGACAATTTTTTTAGCATACAAAAATAACATATAAGAACTTCCGAAAATCTAGCTTTCCTTGTATATTTCACAATTAGGAGAATGCAACTGAAAGTAAAACATAATTTTTTTTAGTCCTAGAACACAAAAAAGAATGATACCATTTAAAATGCCTGATAGCATTATAATCAGACCTGATCCAGTGACATGTAAGAAACTAACCAGCAACGATGATTCCATGCACGATAATTCATCTTTGATTTCTGCAAAGAAAGTGAAAACCAAATTACTACTTTTCTTCCATTCAAAGGACCCACGTTGAATCTCCATGATTGATCCTTACTACTGTTCTTATATTGGTAACATTTTCTAATTACATAGATAATGAACCCTTTATTCGTAGTGGACAAATTGGAATACAAAGTGTAATTTTAATATTATTGGAAGTTAAGGTTATTTCATTCTTTAGCAACACATTATTCTCCCAACTTTTGTGCCTAACTGCATATATTACTTAATGGCATATGGATATCGATAAAATCTAATGACAAATAACACTACGAGGACAACTTAAGTACAACCAAACAGAGTACAATTCTCACCATAAGGTCAAGGGTTCAAGGGTTGGTAGAGAGAGGAGAAGAGAGAGAGAAGTACAACCAAACAAAGTACTTTAAATTTTCTTGTAAATATAATTAGAACTTTAATGTAACACAACAACATAATCAAATATCATCTTCAAACCCTAAAAAGACCCCACACATATCACATTGTGGAAGAAAAAAATAATAATCAAATTCATATTCATAACAGATCAACAAGGCACAAATATTTAAAAGGAAATAACATGAATGGGACTATTGTTTCAGATCCAGCAAACAAATGGAGGGCAATAAAGGGTGACAACCTGAAAGATATATATTAATGAGCCCATGCCCAACATTATTTAAGATGAAAATTGCACCAAAATACCAAGGTCTCAAGTGTCCCCCGCGCAAAGCAAAGCGCAGGATTCAAGCAAACAAGATGCACGTGGATGAATAAGAATCTTGAAAATGTCTTTCATTTGCCTATCATTCCAGACAATTCCATACAATTCCATTGCATACAAAAAAATTAGAAAATTTCACGAAAATACAACATCTATAGATCTCAGTAGCATCTCACTTATATTCTACAAAAACAGCTAATTCCCTTGCGAAGCGCACACAAAAAAAAATAAAAAAATAGCAGCCCACTACAAGACACTCGTGGCACTACAGAGTTTGGGGAGACTCAAGGAACTGAGAGGCTGTTTTTGTGACTTGATCCCTTGGCGCTCAGTGGAGCAGCCTTACCATTATGTCAAGGCCCCACAAATTCAACTCATTTTAACTAGTTCAACCGCATTAATTACAGCAAGATTATTAGAAAAATTAGTCAATTTTGAACATTATATTATAGTACATATACACAATATTTTCTAAACCTACTTTAAGAGTTATTCATATCCTTAACCAATTTCAACATCCTGTGAAAAGATTCCTAAATAGAGTCAAAAAGAATACGAATAATAGAGAGATGGAGACTGGAACAAAGCTACATAAGTATATTTCTTAGAATCAAAGGCTAATTTCACAGTTGGGGACTCATTGAACAACAAAAAAGGTTTCTTTTTTGGGAAAAAAAGATGCTGAGTTTAGGGAATTAGGGCTAGTTTCAACGAGAGCAAGAGAGAGAGATGACAAACTACATAAAAAATAACAAGGCATATAGATATTTCAAAATAGATATTTATACTTAAAGTTAGATAAGTCTGAAACTGAAAAGTTTAGTACTATGTAAATCTAAAGTCAATATAGTTTATGACCATCTACTCCAAAAGTTTAATATGTGTGAAGGATATAACTGAAGTATTTGTACTTTAACACGTCCCCTCACATGCTGGCTAAATTTAGGGCCTAGCACATGAAAATCTTTTTAATAATTAGGGTGATGAAGAGATTCGAACACAAAGACCTCTTACTTTGATACTATATTAAACAACTATCTATTCCAAAATCTTAAGCTGTTGAAGAGGATGTAACTTAACTATTTATACTTCAATAATATCAATGGCCTAAAACACATTACTAAAGGCAATGATCAAAATTTCGTTTCGATGCATTACTTCAATTACCTAAGGAACAGAAACGTTTTGACATGTCTCAGAAACAATTCAATCCGTTTCAAGAACAAAATAAAAAAAAATAAAAAATTTAAGAATTATTTTTCCAAAACATTGGTCGGAATATACCAAAATATTTTTAATACCTTGAAACATTCCGAAAAAATTGTAAAAATGCATTGAAACATTACAAAAACTTCAAAACATTATAAAACACCTCAAAATATTAGAATATCGATTTCATCACTATTTCGTTTTCATTGCTTTGGAAACAAAAACATTTTAGACATTTCGACCGATTAGAAACGAAATTTTGATTCTTAACTAAAGGGCAAAAAACCCATGCCTCAAGCGCTGGGGGCATTAGCCTAGAGCAAGCGCTTCTTGCACCTCGACTATGCCTTAACAAGGTTACCTCAACTCAAGTTCATCAATGTGCTCAAGTGTGCCTCGCCTCGCCCTAGGCCTAGGAGAGCGCCTCCACACGCTTTTAACAACACTACCTACACTTGTGGAATGCATGGTAAACAAATGCACTTGGACAATTAGAAAGATACTCTAGATGTACATTATATCTTCCAAGCAAAGGGTAAAAGAGATTTTTTCCTTATTTTTCCCTTTTTATTCTTTTTCCCTATACATGTGTATGTGAATTATGAGTACAGATACGTATATATCTCTCTGTGTGAGGTAATATAGATAGCAATTGCTATATTAAAGAATAAGGAATTAAAATTAGTCAACAATAAAAAACTATATAGGAATTTATAAGTACTCATGTGCATCTTTCAAATTTTCTGGACAACATATAAAACATTTTGGCCATTATTTGTGCACAAGATGTAGATGATCCATTTATAGGAGGTGCAGACTTCACCTAAAGGCTCCTCTCATCATGTGGTTTGGACATTGCATGTGTTACATGCTCCCACACATTTTACCCATGGATGAGGGGCTGCAGCAGGAGCACATCTACCCTCTAGATCAAGGATCAAAATTCCGTTACTTTTCCACCAAAACGAACGAAATGTTTTTATTTCCCCAGAACCAAAATGAATTAGAGACTGAATATCAAAATTTCAATTTTAAATGTGTTTCGAAATGTTTTGACCAATGTTTTGGCAAATAAGTTTTTAAATTTTTAATTTTTTTTTATTCTGGTTCCGGAATGTTTCCAATGAATTTCTGAAATGTCTTCGTTTTCAAGCTGACCAAACCTATGCACAGAAATAAACTTTTGATCCTTGCTCTAGATTGAGATGATCAAGGCAATTAGGTCTCAGCACAGACATAACTTCGTATCTATCCAAGCAACGCCAGCCTAGTCATAGGCCCATTTCCCAGAGTGGTTATACACATCCATTAATCATAGTCACCAGGTTATAAATTAATGGACAAACTAGTATATGGTTTGACAGATGCAAAGCACGGAAAAAAAAAAAAAAGAGTAAACATTGAATCTCAGGTTTGCTATAGTGCGATTCTAACCCTTGAAGTGAAGCCTATGGATTCATGCTAAGATTCTTAAAATTTTAATTTTCTCAGTCATGTCATTTTCTCATCATTCTTTCCTGCAACCAGATTTGCTATTCAAATTTTAGATTGCACTTCCCTCAAACCCACAACCATCGACCTTTCCACTACCTGTTTGGCCCGTGATTTAACAACAAAGCCCACAAACAGTTGTTCACCAAAATTTTCCTTTTTTATTTTCTTGAATAAGCTGTGGCCAGAATTTTCAGCAACCAACTTTTAAACCTCTCCTGACTAACCACCTTTGAAAAAATGGACCTCATACTCTTGTCAAATGACAAAGCCTAAAACTCTTTCTTGTACTTCAAAAATCCTAGCCCACAAAAGCCTATTTGTAGGAAACGGTACCCAAGTTTTCAAGTGGTGTACTACCTCAATGTCATTGTATAAAAGGTTGCACCTTTACATGGTCTTTTTCTCCTGAATAACAAATTCAAAGTATCACGGCCATGTAAAAAAAAAATAATCAACACTCTCACCGGCACCTTTACATATCACACACCACTAAAGGGAAAGACAAGTATGAGGGCTTCTTTTATGAAGCATGTCATTAATGTTAATCTTACCATTTGGCACTGTCCATACAAAAAATTGCACCTTTAAAAGTACTTTAACCATCCATATCATCAATGCAGTAACAAAAGTAGGATTAAGAATTTTCCTCCGCCAAAGAATTAAAGAAAGATCTAAGCGAAAAGACTCCTGATGTAGGATAACATTCTCTTTATTTTATCATCCGATTAATTATTCATAACAATGTTAAGAATATCAAGGAATGACATCAAATCAATGGTGTCTCTATCATCAAAATTCCTATGAAAATCAAAATTCCAAGAATATGAAGATATATATGAACGAATCATAGACACAATGAATGGATTACGAAAACGGGATAAATGACAAAGATAAGGACACAAAAATGAAAGACAATGTTCACCTACACCAACATCATCCCAAAAACAAATTCTCTCATTATCCACCACTAATCCAAATTCCTATGAAAAAATCATCAAACCCTAAGAAATGAATTTCCCAGGGTATCGGAAATTGCCCCTCTCAACTCTATCAGTGTCTCATCCGTTAACATTTAATCTATATTTGCTCTTGATAACTAAATGTCGTAAAGAAATTATTTCCAATAGAAACCTCCAAAACCACTTACCTACCAAAACAATATTGCTTACTTTCAAATTACCATTTGAAAGACCTCCTTTGATCTAGACACCATCCTCCAACTAATCAAATGATCATTTCTCCCTTTTCCACTACCTTCTCACAAAAAATTCCTCATTTTTCCAATTCTCAAAGCTACTTAGTAACTTGAATAGAGATAAAAAGTGTGGCAATACTAGATAGAATTGACTGAACAAGAGACATACTTTCCACTTCAGATATATAAGCTTTGTTCCACCTATCTATAACCTCTTTCCAACTTTTTCCACCACCAGATCCCAAAAAGATAACAATAGTGGATTCTCATCCAATGGTAATCCCAAATACTTCGGAGATCGCTCTCCTACCTTACACCCCAAAAGTCCCCCTAAGCTACTAATCTTTTCTTGATTTGAATTAATG